GCTCTGGGGGGTGGGGCACATGTGCGGCGCATTCCTTCAGCTATGAATTATTAATGCAGGTAGGTGGGAGAGAGGCTCTGTCCTCAGAAGGGAGCCCTACCCTGGGAGGGCTGGGGCCGGGCGGGGGAGGAGAGAGGAGTAAAGCCCAGCCCCTTCCCGGAGGGGCTGCCCTCTGGGCTGGGAGAGATAAGCCGAGGCCGTAAATAACTCTGCAAGTGTCCAAGTGCCGAGGAGAGACCAGTGCGGTGCTGAGGGGCACAGAGGAAGGGGAGACCATTGGCCACTTGGTGGGGGACACAGATTTCGGACACTGGGAGATGTTTCCTGGGTTGGTACCGCTGGCCTTGGAACCACTGCGGGGAGTTTGGCAGGTGTGGGCCGGGGAGGGGGGGACAGAAGGCACTTTGGGTGGAGGGACTTCCTAAGCAAAGGCCAGGCTGGGGGTGAGGAAGTCCAGACAGGACACTGGTCTGGAGTTGGGGTGGGGACAGGAACCCTGCAGATAAGACAGCAGGGGGCAGACTGGGGGACTGGGGAGGGGCCCTGAGGAGGGTTCCTGGATTAGCTGAAAGACAGGGCGATAGTGGCTGGCCGCTAGCAAACAGTCTCGAGGTCACAGCCCTGCTCCTGCTGGGGATGAGTTACCAATTAATGATTCAGAAACGGAACCCCATCTTGCCTTTCTGGTTTGTAAGGAGAAGCCTGGGCTCAGTGGTCTCCCAGCCCTGGGGGAACAGCTCCTCCCAGCTGTCCCCAATGACTTTAGTGAGAACCCAGTCACCTTCCTCTGCCGCTTGGCACCCCACTTGGTTCACATAGGCAAGAACGTCTGATCAGTGAGTCAAGCCCTCCTCGTCCCATCCCACCACTTACAGATGGGGAGATCCAGGCCCAGGGAAGGGAAGGATTTGCTGAGGGGCATCTATTGCTCCTAAGGGCATTGTGGGGGCACTGCCATCCTCCCGGCTTGCCTGTGGGGACCCAGAAGCTCTAAAAAGTGCATGTCTCGTGCAGCTGTCATGTGGGGCCTGACATCTGTGTCCCCACCATGTAGCCCAGGCCACAACAGCAATGGGCCAACTCAGCATCTGCCTTGCCAGGGCTCCTGGCCTCGTGGGGGAGTTCAGCGTGGGAAAACACAAAGGGGACTCTGTGCTGTGTCCCAGGAAAGGAGCGAGGAGCCCAGAGCAGGAGTGTCACCTCCATGTGGGAGTGCCTGGGAATGGGCATGGAAGGGCAGGGACACTGGCACAGGCAGGGACTGAAATTAGAGCAGGTGTCCTGGGCAGGAGGCATAAAAGCAGAGGCAAGGCGGGCACAGGCGGGGACTTGGAGAAGCCGGTGTGTGGTGTGCGAGGGAGTGCCCCAGATGCTGTTCTCAGGGCTTTGTCACTTAATCCTGATAATTCTCCTTTCAGTGAGGCAGGAATAGCCTTATCACCATGCTTTTACAGGTGGGGAAAAGAAGGGACAGAGAGGTTAAGTAACAGCTAGTTACTGCTGGCTGTGGGATTAGGACCGAAGTAGATGGCTCCGAGTGGCTCAGCTTCTTGATAATGGTTAAACTCTTGCTGAGCTTCAGAGGGAGGAGTGGGAGAAGGGGTGGGGTTCGATAACAATATCTGTGTGTGCAAGCACACGTATACACGCGTGCATATGTACACGTGCACACAGGGCCTTGCTACAAGCAAGGTTCAGTGTTCACGTAAATCTCCCGACCGCCCCACGAAGTGGGCTCTGCTGTTAACCCATTACACAGAAGAGGAAGCGGAGGCAGGGAGGGCTCCCTGCTCACAGGAGCCGCAGCCAGCAGTAGTAGGGGCCCGCAGGGAGCTGTCTGGCTCTGTTGCGGACTGTTGGTCTCAGGAACAGTTGGGAACAGGGAAGTGGGGGGTGGAAGGCCCCAGGAGGCTCAGCTGTCCTGGGGCCGCACTGCCCTGGGCTTTAGAAAGTGATCTAGAGATGAAAGGGGCATCCGACACAGGAACGGAAACCAGCTGAGGCCAAGTGACTTAGAATGCCTACCGGGTGGGCACGTGGGACTCAGCCTGAGCTGGGGGGAGCGGAGGGGACAGGGGCTCAGAACCTGGCTGCCCACAGGAGCCCCTGCCCAGAAGTATCCCCTTCCCCCCCACCTCACCTGCCCCTAAGCCAGGCACTGGGAGACCCCCAGGCCAGCAAGTACAGGGAGGGGACCTCTCCCTTCTTGGCTTCCCTGAGGGGGTACTGGAGTGGCCCCAGCCTCCTGTGGACCTCAAGGACTGTCCAGTGAGAGGAAAGGCCCAAGCTAGCTGGGAGGGTTCATAAAAACCACCCCCCACGCTGGGTGGGCCCTGGCTTGCTGCTCATGCTGGGCTGGGGCTGAAGAGTCCCAGAAGTTTCCAGAAAGCACATGGTGGATGGCCCATGTGGAGATCTGGGCAAGGCCTACCCTTCTCTGGGCCTCAGTTTCCCTTGCTCACCATGGGAGTTGTTGCTGTGAGAGCTGCCTTCTGCTTTGTGTCACTAAGTGACAGCCAGGCCTGCCAGCGTCAGGTGCAAGGTGCAGCACATGCTTGGGCCTGAGTGGTGGCTTCCATCTGAGGTCTGGCAGTGGTGGGTGTGAAGGGGACCCTGAGGCATTTCATGGCAGGCCTGGATTTGCAGTTTTTAGGCCCTTCATCAGCCTGTTTCCCTGACTAGGGCTGACCTCTGTGCCTAGGGGAAGAGGTGAGCCATGAAGGGCAGGTCGGGGAAGGAGGCCCTTCTTGAATTTGGCCTCCTCTTGGAAGTGGCCTCACTGGGCCTCACTCTTGAGCTGCCTGAGGATGAGGCTACTGGCAGCTCCAGGAAGACAACTCCGTGATGAACCAGGGAGGGAAGATGCAAGGACCTCCTGGAGTGAGCTAGTGAGCTAGGCAGGAGAGGATCCGGCCCTACCTGGAGGCCACAGGGAGGGAGGCCCGTCCCAGGGAGGGGCTGGTACTGTGGAAGGAAGGGCCGAGGCTCAGACAATGGGTGCCATAAAGCCGTCTGCCAGGCTGATTTCCCCACAATGTTCTCACCACTGGAGCCTGCATTGGTCCTGGGGAAACCGAGCTGGGCATGGGGCGGTGATCTGCCCAAGCTTACGTGGTGAGTGGGTGGCCAACCCGGAGCCTGAACCTAGGTGTCTGCCTGAGCCGGTCCCAAGAGAACCCTGACTGCAGAACGAGCTAGGGCCTTGGCCACCCCAGCAAAACCCCTACCCAGGCCCGGCATGTGAACTCCCTGTTCCCTCCTGTCCTTCCTTCCACCTTCTCCCCCACACCCCTACCCCAGATAAACGATGTTTCCAATTACGGTCTGCTGGAGTACAGCACCTAGGGAGATGTCCACATGGGACCCCTCCCGCTCTGGTCCTTGATTACTCCCCCGGGGGATGTCGTTAGGAACCGTCATTACCGCTAATTACCAGATGACCGCATGGCCTCCTTGGGAGTGGAATCTGCTGCCTCCCCATGGGCGGGCCTCTCCCTCAGCCATGGCTGGCTGCTCCCATCCCTGCACTGGCAGCACGACCCAGCCAGCAGCTCCCTGGGCCCCCTAGTCTGGGCCTCCGCACAGCCCTGAGCCCCCAGCTGCCTCCAGACCAGCTTTGTTTGTATCCTCAAGTGGGGAGTCTGAGCCTCATCTGGGAGGTGGCCTTATCATACCCCTCTCACAGCCAGCTGGGGAGGCTGTGGTCTGATGACTTCCAAGGTGGGAGACTGAGACCCACAAGGAGCCCCTCGGCCCGGAGCAGCTCCCTCCTGAGAGCTGCAGTGCCCCACACTCAGGAACGGCCTGAACTAAGCTCTCCGGAAATGGCTTAGCTTGAGCAGGAGCCAGGAAATGCATGGCAGGAGGCAGCCCCCTGCAGTTGAGGTCCTGGGCACATATGCGACCTGCTGTCTCCTGCAAAGCAAGCTGGCACAGAGGGGAAGGAGAAAATCTGGACAGGTGAAGGGCAGAGCAGGCCCAGGATGGCAAGTGTGGACCCAGGAAGGACAAGCCCCTCATCTGCCCCTCCTCTCAGGGACCTGACTTGACAGGAGACACAGGACCAGCACGATCCCTGGCCCAGCTTCAGGGTCCTCGTTTGTACGATCTCATCCAGGTCAGTCCCAGAGATGGGAAATGAGAGGCTCAGTGAACCGGGAAGGGCCATGCCCTGGTGGGTGCCGTTACTTCACGGCCACACCACGTGTGGGAACGGCGTTTGCTGGGTGGTGCGGTGGGCGGTGCTGATGACGTTTGCCTTTGTGTGGTCAAAGCCCACTCAGTAAGAGCTACTGGGAGCAGCCATTGGGTTCCTCAAGAAGGGAAGGCCCGGCAGGACCAGCCCTGTGCGGTGTGTCAATAGTTCATGAGACCATGTCTGAGTTGGCTCTGGGGCCCACCCTGTGCTGGGTGCTGGGTCCAGGCCCACCAGGCACTGTCTTGCCTGGGCTGGGGGAATGGGCTAGGGCTGCAGTGGGAGGAGACGCAGGGCAGCCATGGCCGATGGGCTGGGCTGGGTTGTGGCCTGCTAACCGCAGTCACTAGCCCATGCCCACTGGCTCTCTGCGTGTGTCCTGGTCTCTGGGAGGTTGACCTATTCGGGGGTATAGGTGGGGCATGGCAGAGAGAGAGGCAGAGGAAATAATCCTGCCTATCAAGTTCTCACGGTAGCACTGAGAACCTCATGCAGCCTGTGCAGGACCTTGAAAGGTCCTTTCCTGTAGTTGATCTCAGAGAGGGGCAGCGCATTGTCCAAGATTGCACAGCACACAGCAGGCAGAAGTTAAGCTACAGCACAGGTCTTCTCGCTCCCTCCGGCCCAGGAGTCATCGGGCAGTGAGCAGAGGGACCCCATCTGTAAATGTTCCAAACACCCTGCACACCTTATCCTGCTTAAGTCTTGCCATACCTTTTTGGAGTAGAAATGATCGTTTCCTTATCAGGTCCATGAGGCCAGGAGAGGGTAGATAGCTTACTAGGGCACACAGCTGGTGCCTAGAGCCTGTGTTTTTCCCCAGGCCAGCCCAGGAGCTGGGCCAGCTGGGGCACTGGCTTCCGACACTTGGTAGGTTTATCTGGTCAGGGGAGGAGAGGCCCCTGTGGAAAAGATCTGCAGCACATCATTGCCTAGTGAGCCTGGGAACGTGGTATTAGTAAATATTTCCTCCGCACATAGATGGGGTCTGTTTTTCATGCAAGTGAAGAGCAAGGGGTGAGGGGCACTTCTGGCATCAGGGGAAGCTCTGGCAAAGGCATGGTGGTAGGATAGCCCCTGTGAGGGAAGACAGCCACCTGGGGTGGCTGGATATTGGGACATGCAGGGAGGAGGCCAGGCAGGGCTGAGGGCTTTGAGGGGCTCTGAAAGTCAGCGACAGCCTTGACCAGGTGGGCATGGGGAGGCTGCCACCAGCAGGACAGGACCACCACAGCAGTAATCTTGGTGCCTGTCACTGAGCCCTGACCTCGGCATGCCAGCCTGGGCGCGGCACATGCCCACAGTGTCTGATTTAGTCCCTCACACGGCGCTGAGAGACCAGCAGGGCAGCAGAGAGCGCGAGACTTGTTCATGGTTGTAAGGGGAGAACAGAACCAGAGTCCACCAGGCCTGGGCAGCTCCCTGGGCATTGGGCTGTCTCCTCTGGATCTCGGGCCAGGACTCTGCCGACCGTGGGGAGGACTGCTGGGCACGTGTGGCTGTAGATTGATCTCTTTTCCCTGGGCCCTCTCGGGGCTCTGCTTAGTGACTGAGGGCCAGCTGGCTCTGGGCTCCAGACACCCCCCTGCTGCGGGTGGAGACCTGGGGCTGCACTTACAGAAGGGCAGGCCTGGAGTGGACCTGGTCCTCGAGTCCTGGAATCCCAGTGGCAGGATCAGGTCCCATAGCATCACCAGAATTCAGAGAGCCCCTGGGCCACCGTTTGCCAAAGTGCAGATGAGGTCAGTATACCTGAAGCCAAGGGCTTTGTGCTCAGTGCTCTTGAGAGACTCTTGGTTAAACAAAACCAAGCCTGTTGCTTTGCTGCAGGCCTTCTCAGGACCTTTATAATGTAACTGTGCGTGAGGACTCTTCAAGGGACAACGTAGTGCATCACGTCCCTCAAATGGATCCCCGTCCGAATGTCTCCCTGGAACCCATTCTGGGAAGTAGCAATGTCTAGGTACAGACCCTCAGGCTTAGAGAGGGGCAGTGATTTGTGTAAGGTCACCCAGTAAGGGAATGCTAAGTCTGGATTCGATGCGAAATTTCCAAGTTCTGGACCATGACTAGGTTGAGTGGCTCTTGAATCCTTTAATTCAGCGGCCCGCAAACTTCTCAGCACCAGGGATGGGGCTTGTGGAAGACGATCCCTCCATGGATGGGGGTGAGTTGGTAGGTTGGTCTCAGGATAACCCAGGACCCGGGTGCACATCACTCTGTGCACCCCATTTCCACCACTACCACATTGCAGGATACAATGAAGCAATCATACTACACTAGGGTTTGCGCTCCCCTGAAGACCCAGTACCACTGCGGATCCCACAGGAGGCGGGGCCCAGGTGGCCTTGTGAGGGATGGGGGCGACTACTGCCCACCCCCACTGCGTGGTTGTGGGTGGAGAGGGCAACAGGCCACGGATTGGCTCTGGTTCATAGCCCCGGGGTTGGGGGACCCCCCCCCCACTTTAATAGCAGTCTTCGGGGCCAGCAGGTGGCGTGATGGTTAAGGTGCTGGACTCTCACGTGGCTGACTGTGGTTTGAGTCCTGGATCTGCTGGCTTGCTTTCTCACTTCCCTTTCTCTTTCTCCCTGGTCAAATTAAAGAGTAATGATCATAACATATAAAATCAAATAAATAATCCTTTAAAATAACAACAATCCCTTTTGTGGATGTGGGACTTGACTGCATAATAAATGGGTTTAGTAATGACACGAACCAATGATGAAACACTCCGAGCACACATAGTGCCTGTAGTAAGGGCCCAATTACTAGTATGAGTCACGCTGGCGACGATAGTAATCCGGCGTTAGCACGGTTTCCGGCACGCAGCTGCTTGGCGCTCAATGGCTGTTGAACCAACAGTCATCATACACAGCAGCGTGAGAACAAGGCTAGGCTGTGGGTGTGAGTGCTTTGTGAACTGTGAAATGGTCCATTAGAGTCATTATCACAGGGCTTAGGTGGCAGGCCGGGGGCTGTGATGTTAGGTTATAAATAGAGCCCGAGGCCCAGAGAGGGACAGTAGGGTGCTCAAGGCCTTGCACACGGGGTGGGATGCTGGCAGTGGGTTAGTGGGGCAGGGCAGCCAGGCTGACCTTCCTCTATGGTTGCCTTTGGCCTGTGCAGGGCCCTGTCCAAGACCCCGGCGGCCCTGGCACTGAACCAGACGCAGCACTGCAAGCAGCTGGAGGGCCTGGTGTCGGCGCAGGTGCAGCTGTGCCGCAGCAATCTGGAGCTCATGCACACCATTGTGCACGCCGCCCGCGAGGTCACCAAGGCCTGCCGCAGGGCCTTCGCTGACATGCGCTGGAACTGCTCCTCCATCGAGCTCGCCCCCAACTACCTGCTCGACCTGGAGAGAGGTAGGCCACTGGCAGCCGTCAGGGCTGCTGAGCGCACGCAGCGGGTGGATGAACTCGGGCATGCGTGCACGTGTGTTTAGATAGGTGGGTGCGTTCATGGGTGGCTGGCCTTGCAGTCATGGGTAGATGAGTGACTGTATGGATGACAGATGGGTAGCAGCTGATGTAGCACGGGTGGATGAATTAAGCATAGGTGTGGGTACTCAGGCACGAACTCCTGAATGGATAAACGTAGAGACGATAAATCTATCAGCGAAGGGGAGCCTGAGTGATAGTACAAATACACTCGTGCACCCTCGGTCTGGGTGAAGGAATGAACGATGCTGCCTGCTGGACTTACGGCCACGTGTCAGGCAGGCTCTTGGGAGGGGAGTACACAAACAAGAAAGCTGTGGGGCCCACCCTCAGGGCAGACGGGTATGCCACAGGTAAACCCGGACCAGGTGCACTGAAATTGCCGCGTCCACAAAGTGGACGTCTCTTTTGAAGACTTCCTGGTGGAGGTGGCTTCTAGGGTGGGCTTGGGAGGTCCGCATATGATAGAAAGGCATTCACCAGGTGGAAACACCCTACTGGGTCTCACCTCTCCCCCACGTGACATCTCACACGCTTGCTGAGCTAAGTTTCCTACAGTACTTTGCAAAGTTTCTTTTCCTCCTGAATTGTTGGAATTCCAGAACAAGCCTGCAAGGTGGGTTCTATGACCCACATTCTGCAGTAAGAAAACAAGCTCAAGAAGGGAAAAAGGCCAGCCTGTAGTCTGGTGGTTAAGGGAACTAGATCCTGCATGGCTGACCATGTGGTTCGAGTCCCAGACCCAGAAGCTTGAAAAACACACTGGTCACCTGTGCATGCATGCCCAAAATCCCAGAAGAAGGGAGAGATGGATGAGGGATTGTGCAGTGACCGTGTGCCACGTGCTTCCCCAAAACCTCCGCCTCTCTCTGGCAAGCACACAGGCCCCCTGACAAATTTTTAAAAAAGGAGAAAGAGAAGAAGGAGGAGGAGGAGGCAGAGGAAGAGGAGGAGGAGAAGGAGGAGGAGAAGAAAGAGGGAAGAGGAGGAGGAGGAGGAGAGAAGGAAATGATCGCTGGTGTAGAGATGGAGCCAGAACACAGGCCTGAGGCCAGGACACCCCAGCGGAGGGGATGGCTCTGTCAGTTCCCCAGGGCTGCTGTCACTGGGACAACAAACTGGCCGGCTCCCGAGATGGAGATGTCCGAGGCCCAAGC